TTTTTTTTTTGGGTACTGGGGATTGAACCCAGGAGTGCTTAACCACTGAGCTGCACCCTCAGCCCATTTAATTTTTGAGACAACATCTCACTAAGTTGCCCAGGATGACATCAAATATGCGATCTTCCTGCCTCAGCCTTCCAAGTTGCTGGGATTATAGATATGCCCAGTGCACCCAGTTTATGTGAATTTTTGAGGAAACACCGAACTGTTTTCAAAATGATTCACAATGGCTGAATCATTTTGCCTTCTACCAGCAATGTACAGTTTCTTCATATGCTTGCCAGCACTTGTTGTGTCCCTTTTATTTGTATTAAGGCTATCCTTATGGGTATGAATTATTGTGATTTTACATTTCCCTAATGACTAAGTGATGCTGAGCATCATTTCATGTGTCTATTAGCCATTTGTATGTCTTCTTGGAAATGTTGTATTTTGTTGAATTGTAAGAGTTCTTTTTATATTTTAGATACTGTGCTTTTATTAGACACATGATTTGCAGTTATTTTCTTCTATTCTTTTGTCTTTTCACATTCTTTTTTTTAAGGTGGTTACAGTATCTTTATTTTATATTTATGTGGTCCTGAGGATCGAACCCACTGCCTCATGCATTCTAGGCAAGTGCTGTACCACTGAGCCACAGCTCAGCCCCATGTCTTTTCACGTTCTTGACAGTGTTCTTGGATGCCTAGAAGTTTTAAATTTTGATAGAGTCCAATTTGTCATTTTGTATTTTGTTATTCATGCTTTTGGTGTCATATTCAAGAATTTACCAAATCCAAAATCATGAAGATTTACCTTTATGTTTTCTTTTTTTTTTTTTTTTTTTAGTTTCAGTTCTTAAATTTAACTTTGGTTCATCCTGAGTTAATTTTGTATATGATCTGAAGTAGGGGACTCTTTTTTAATGGCAAAATTTCATGGCGCCTCTGCATTATACTGTGAGTATTCTTTAATTGAACATACATACGTACCAACAACAACAACAAAAAAACTACTGTGGATTTCATAGAAAGTTAAATTATTCTGCATTGTATTAATCAAAGCAGAACTTACATAGTTTTTTCAAAATACTACATGTAAGACATTATTTCTTTCAGTTTGTAACGGATGTGGGTTCATGCCCTTTCCCTAACTTCATGGTCTCCACTCAGTTTGCACATCACAGGTGTTGTAGGTGAGAATCGGGAGAATCTGCCATGGCAGGGAAACAGGAATTAAGGATGAGGATAAAATTTCCAAAGGCCCATAATTGGAGAGATCTCAAGGGGGAGAGAGGCAATGACTGGAAGGTCAGTGACCAGAAGGCATTGGGGTAAATGGGCCAGAGAGGGCAACAGAATGACTGCAGAGCAGAAGTGAAGAGCTCACAGGGAAAATGGCTTAGAACAGGGAGGCCCAGTCATCATCATCAGAGAGGAGATTCAGGAATAGTTAAGCATTCCTTTAGTTTTAGAAATAATGCCAATCCAACTCTGCCTTCCAATTAGAGTCCAACTGACTTTGCTTAGCATCTGTCCCAAAGATGGGAAGGGAAAGGAAGTAGAGACATTTAAATTTTATTTCAGCTGTGATCAGAATACTGGTTTAAGTTTCAATTCCTAAAGCTGTATTCTTTTTTCTTTAATTAGTGAAACTATATTTTATGACAGTGTTTGGTATGTGGTTTGTTTAGTTTTCTTTCCATTAATAACATTTCCTAGTTTAAAAAGTCCGGATTTATTTCCCCTGAGAGAATGATAAAAATAATATTCTGCTTCTCTCATAGAGGAAGGTTCTCATTACACCCTTAGAGCTTAGAGAACAGGATGGTGAGCTACATTGGCCTGTGGCCACCTGATAGAACAAGAATTTGGACACACAGGAGGGAGAACTGTGGATGGAAAGCATTGGACCATGGTGGCAACCACAGCCAAGGGTGCCTTCCGGCAGCTCTCTTGGTGCTTACAAGCCCTTTAGTAGCATTTTTTGAAGTTGTCTTTTGGTAACTTTGTCAGGTATATGTTCAGTGGGCTTTAGAGAAAGGGACAGGGAGGAGATGAGACTGAGGACTGAGTCTGAGGAGAGGTCAAGCAGGTACCCTTCTGTTTTTTCTAGGCAGAGTGTCCTTTTGAAATGAAACAGAAACCTATCTTATAAAAAAGCAATTTGGAGAGGCATAAATAAGGAATGGGTCTTAATTATAACTTCAGTGTTTGTGGGGTTTAAACTACATTTGTCCAAATGTCTTTTAAAATTTTTAACCCTTTCCGTGTGACCTCTGTGACTTCAGGTGCTGTTGGTGAGCAGTAGTCGCCATCCAGACCGATGGATTGTCCCTGGAGGTGGCATGGAGCCTGAGGAGGAGCCAAGTGTAGCAGCAGTCCGTGAAGTTTGCGAGGAGGTATGTACTGAAGCAAAGGGCGCAGCTGAACCTTGTGACCATGAGCCTGTCCTATCTGTGTGATTCTTTAATTTATCACCACCCACTGAATAAGCATACTTAAGATCACAGAGATACCCTCTAAGGTTACCATGTATCTTCTTGATTAAAGGAATGATTGGATGTGACGTGCTAATGTTTATCAGACACTCATAGTAGTAGTAACTATATCCAGTGATACCTGACAGTCCTTTGTGACTTTCCATGGATCTCCTCCAACACTGCCTGTTACCTGTGGCAGAGGATCAAGTATCAGCCCTAAGAAACAAAACAGTCTGCATTAGTATAATAGCTCATTCTCATTAACCTTGGGATGAGGAGGAAGAAGAGACCCTTTTCTCCTGTGCTTCCTGGATCCTAGCCATGAAATAAATGGTGGCTAAAGCAACAGTTCTGTTAGCCAGAGCTGGTAATGGTGCAGCTTGAAAAAATGACAGCATCTTCTTTTTTATTTAGTCATATGGTATTCAACATACATGTAGTAAGTTCCTAGGCCATAATATAAGATTCTTCCAAATAAACAGAAAAAGTCAAGTCATGGGCCCTTAGTTCCCATATTTCACGATTTTGCAGTCTGGAGGAAGCTGAGAAACAGACTGAAATTTAGAATCAAGAGGAAGGAACTGATGTTTCTCCATAGCCTGTTGTGGCAACACCATGCTTTGCTCTGCCTATGGTATCTCATTTAGGACTCATAATTAATTGTATAAGGTTTATTGTCTTCATGTTCTTACCCTGGCACACATAAAACCCTTTCCTTGTTCTAGAGGGCATTTAAGACTAACATATAAAGTGACATTAGGGCTAGTCTACATTCTACATTTGTTTTGGGTCTAGCTCTTGTTGAGGTCCCCTTAGACTAATTGTATCCTAAGAACATCCTAGGATTTCTCATTGCAAACTTCTACAGGCTCACATTGGCTTATGTCTAACTCATTTTATCTTGTATTTGGTATCTGTAACTGGATTGTAATCTCCAAAGGCAAAAATCATATTTCCCATATAAAATTCCCCTCTTCCTGAGCCTAATACACATACTAAATAAATAAACAATAATATTAATACATAGATCTGTGCTAGATGGAACAATGGCTGGAATAATGCAGATTCTGAAGAAATACCCAAAATAGAAATGATCAGATACAGTAAATGATAAACATCAACAGAGTAGACATGAGAAGGCGTTCTCACAGTGGCTGCTGAGGAGACTAACCTGGTAGAACCAAATGGAATCCAGAGGGTGTATGATGAAAGGAAGTCAGCCATGGAAATCTTGGTTTCTCATTCTGTTAGTTAAAAGCTACGTGACCTGTGGGGAAAAAAATAGTTTTAAACTCTCTGAACTTGGCCCCTCACTTGAATATCTTCCTGTTTACTCCACCATGGGAGGAGGGGAGATAGAGTGAGGTTCAAATGAGAACATGAGTATGAATGTCCTTTAATAATATGTGACTCTTATCTGTTAAGATGTATACAGGGGAAAAGAATATGTTCTTATTATTCAATAACAGGTTTATCATATCACATCACAAGTCCCAGGTTGGCTGACTCAGCGGTACCAAGAGCCCTGGGCTTTCCCACCTTTTTGTTCCACCATCCCTGGTACATTGGATTTTTTTTTTTTTTTAAAGAGAGAGAGAGAGGAGGGAGAGAGAGAGAGAGAGAGAGAATTTTTAATATTTATTTTTTAGTTCTCGGCGGACACAACATCTTCGTTGGTATGTGGTGCTGAGGATCGAACCCG